GAAACCATAAACAAGATGAAAAGACAACCCTCAGAATGGGAGAAAATATTTGCAAACGAATTGATGGACAAAGGATTAATCTCCAAAATATACAAACAGCACATGCAGCTCAATATCAAAAAAACAACCCACCCAATCAAAAAATGGGTGGAAGACCTAAATAGACATTTCTCCAAAGAAGACATACAGAGGGCCAAGAGGCATATGAAAAGATGCTCAACATTACAAATTATTAGAGAAATGCAAATCAAAGCTACAAAGAGGTACCACCTCACACTGGTCAGAATGGCCATCATCAAAAAGCCTACAAACAATAAATGCTGGAGAGGGTGTGGAGAAAAGGGAACCCTCCTATACTGTTGCTGGGAACGTAAATTGGTACAGCCACTGTGGAGAACAGTATGGAGGTTCCTTAAGAAACTCAAAATAGAGCTACCATATGATCCAGCAATCCCACTCCTGGGCATATATCCAGAGAAAACCACAATTTGAAAAGATACATGCACCCCAATATTCATTGCAGCACCGTTTACAATAGCCAGGATGTGGAAGCAACCTAAATGTCCATTGACAGAGGAATGGATAAAGAAAGTATGGTACATATATACAATGGAATATTACTCAGCCGTAAAAAAGAAGAAATGCCATTTGCAGCAACATGGTTGCAACTAGAGATTATCATATGAAGTGAAGTCAGACAGAGAAAGACATATATCACTTACATGTGAAATCTAAAAAAATGATACAAATGAACTTATTTACAAAACAGAAACAGACTCACAGACTTTGAAAACAAATTTATGGTTACCAAAGGAGAAAGGTGTGGGGAAGGGATAAATTAGGAGTTTGGGATTAACGTATTAAAACTACTATATATAAAATAGATAATCAACAAGGACCTACTGTATAGCACAGGGAACTCTACATATTCTATAATAACCTAGATGGGAAAAGAATCTGTAAAAGAATGGATGTATGTATATGTATAAGTGAATCACTTTTCTGTATACCTGAAACTAACACAATATTGTAAATCAACTATACTGTAATATAAAGTAAAAATAAAATTAAAAAACAAAACTAAACAGGGAAGAGGAAAGGAATGTCCTGAGGAAAGAGGTACAATTTTAAATAGGGTGATCAGCAAAGGACTCACTGGCTGATACTGGAATGAAGACTTGTAAGAGGTGAGGGAGCAAGGCTCACAAGTGATCAGGAAATGTTCTTTTGGAAGGGGAACAGCAAGCAAGTGCAAAAGCCCTTAGCTAGGAGGATGCCAGGTACACTCAAATAAGAGCAAGAAAGCCCAGGTGGTTGCAGCAGAATGGCCAAGGCAAAGACTAGCAAGAAAGAAGTCTAGAAAAGAAGTGGGGTGGGGGGGAGGTCACACCATGAAGGCCATTGAACACTTAGGTTAGTGGATTGAAGGTACTGATGGAGAATGATCTGTTGGAGTTTTAGTACTAGAGGGAGTAAATTGGAAAGTGGATTCTTACTGGAAAATGGAATACTTGAAATTGAGATTAGGGAGGGATTTGCAATCAATAATGATAAGGTCTAGTATATGTCCTTAGGAGTGAGGGCTGAGGTAAGGGGGAGAATAAGATTATTAGGAGGAGGGATAGAGCATGGCCTAGTCTAAGGATATGATATTCAGAGCCGGTTGTTTTTAAAGAGTAGGGAAAGTTTATCTGAAAGAAGAAAGGAGGACACAGGGGGACACTTAACCTGCTTCCAAGCCCAGTGGTGGATCCGGAAGAGAAAATAACCACTTTGAGAGGGTTGCAGAGGAAGTAAGGTTCTTCAAGAGAGTCAGGTTATAATTAGAATAGAAACATGAAGGGATTGTTCAGAAAAAGCACTGATATAAAGATTTTGCTAATGAATGACTCAGTTCCTAAGGGCAGAGTGAAAGTGTTTGGGGAGTTTGGGAGAAGTAGGGTGTGGTCAGAATATGGGTTGCACAGAGGAGCCATATGGAGATTAGAGGGAGGGAGATCATGACCGAGCTTCTTGTGAGGACAGGCAGGCTCCATCCCGGTGGTCCTAGTACTGTGGTGGGGGGCAACGAAGGCTGGAGGGCGGGGAGGGAGGAGCATCTTGCCAGAAGCAGTGTTCAGGGTCCCTTCTGTACTCTCGACCATAGATGACTGAAGGCATAAGGTATAGTCTCACTCTAAGCACAAAAGACTGCCTCACCTTGCTCATTCCTTCTTGGTTTTAGCATCGTATACTGCCTCCTTTTTCATATTAGATCATAAGCTCTTTAAGGTTAGTAAGAAATTTTACTCACTTTGGCTTCACCTGTTGATTACCAGTACTAAGCTATTCAATAAATATTTGTTCAAAAACAAGTAAATACTTTTTACTGGATGGAAGGCATGGCTGAAAAGACTAATAATTTCATATTTAGTCTTATCTCTGAGAACTCTCTAGAGCTCCCCAACCCCTGACATTCTTGAGTCCAGTCCTAGAAGACCAAGTGCTGTTATAAAACCTGGCACACTGTGAGTTTATGAAAAAACCAAAGATATTAGGGCTCTCCCTTCCCTATCGTAAGAAGTCACAATTCTGCTTGTAATATTTGCCTCACTGATCATTTCCTTTTAGAAAGAAGAGAATCAGGGCTTCCCTGGTGGCGCAGTGGTTGAGAGTCCGCCTGCCGATGCGGGGGACACTGGTTCGTGCCCTGGTCCAGGAAGATCCCACATGCCGCGGAGCGGCTGGGCCCGTGGGCCATGCCTGCTGAGCCTGCGCGTCTGGAGGCTGTGCTCCGCAACGGGAGAGGCTGCAACAGTGAGAGGCCCGCGTACCGCAAAAAAAAAAAAAAAGAAAGAAAGAAGAGAATCAATAGCCAAGACAAAGTATAATTCTCCAAGGACACTACAATCTGCTGTGAGTAGTCTGGAGAATTTGGCCGAACACAGCCATGCTTAGTGACAAATGACAACGGTGATGGTCTTGCTACAAGCAAGGGTTTGGCAATCCTGCAGATCTGTGTCATCATTAGGTGTGAGCGAGCCTTGGAACCATTAAGGAATTGATGATATGGGGCAAACAGGTGATTTGATGTGGAGGCAGGGTTGTGGCAGGAAAAGCCCAGAATTCAGAAACTGACCTAGAACCAGAACTTAGCAAGTGTGTAACCAAACAGCTGAGTTTCTGCCATAAGGTGACCACCACCAAATCCCACATCAGGGCTTCACCAAGACAAAGCCATTTTGGCCATGCAACTTTGGCAACAGGATCCCTCCTATCTGCCCTAAAATGTAAGGCCCTCCAGTCTTTCAAAAACACAACTCTGATCACATCAGTCCTTTGCCAAGTCCATTCAGTGGCATTCCATTACTTTTAGCCTAAGTATGAACTCCCTGTATGCCCCAGAGGCCCTCACAGGATGTAACATCTACCCACCACTCCACCTCACCTCTCCACTCCTCTCACCACTTTCCCTCTTGCACTTTGTATTCCAGCAAACTTAAATTCTTTCCATTCCTGAAACATTCAATGCCATAGTTCATAGATGCTTTAAACTTACTTTATCCAGTGAACTTTCAGTTCTTATCTTTCAGCACATCCTCAAGAAAGGGCTCCTTGACAGCTAGATGGTTCAGGTCTCCCCCCTACAATATGTTATATCACACACTAATCTCATGACTCTCAATTACTCATTTAATGTTTTCTCTCTCCTCCAATCCTTTATTTCTATGAAGATGGCAACTTTGGTATGCGAGAGGCCCACATACCGCAAAAACAAACAAACAAACAAAAAAAGTTAGGTGAATATACTGTCCTGCTTAACACAACTGATAAAATGTGAGCACCATAATTCTCCGGCTGCTCTCGTTAAGCTGAGAACCTTTCCCTTGGTTCCTCTGCACCCTGAAAAATATCTTGAATGCATTCAATATCTTTTAAGTGAATACATCCCATAAAATAATAAAACACCCCAAACTGTTTAATTCAGTAAAATATGGAATACAGGCTGATTAAAATACTAACTTTATTTCTAACTTTTCAATGAATAACATTTAGAGAAAGAATAAAAATGAAAACAAGGCACTACTGTCTCACACCACAAAATAATTTTATCCAAAGGAAATTCAGATGCAAGATACATTTAACATCAATTCATATATTAGTAACTTATACATTTATTATCAAGTATGAGATCCATAAAAGCATAAAATAGTCTCTCGAGATCTCAACCAAGCTTCTAGCTTACCTTATGTGTCACTTCCACGACTATCAATCACACACATAAAGAAACTAGGAGAGGGCTTCCCTGGTGGCGCAGTGGTTGAGAGTCCGCCTGCCGATGCAGGGGACACGGGTTCGTGCCCCGGTCCGGGAAGATCCCATATGCCGTGGAGCGGCTGGGCCCGTGAGCCATGGCCGCTGAGCCTGCGCGTCCGGAGCCTGTGCTCCGCAACGGGAGAGGCCACAGCGGTGAGAGGCCCGCGCACCGCAAAAAAAAAAAAAAAGAAACTAGGAGAAATTGACTGAAGATGACTTTCCAGAAAATTTACAAAATGAAAAGGGCAAAGTATGTCAAATAAGGCAGAGGCAGCAACACAGCCCTGAATTTACTCTGGAAAGGCTGCCTAAGGCACTACCAAACGGATAGTGGTAAATCCCTAATCTGACTTTAAATTTTTATGATCTTAAACTTTTCAATTCTAAGCACAAGGTGACATGACCATGCTAATTGCTATTTTCTCAGTACAGGCAGATGTGAGAAATATTACATCTACCCAGGGCACTGTCACCCTAATATATGTTTGTAATATATCTGTTTATATGAAGTGTGAAAGTAAACTTGTTTATTTTTTCTTTAAATGCATTTTAAGAACTAATGGCAAAAAAAAAAAAAAAAAAGAACTAATGGCACTTGAATGAATGGTGGCACAATAAGGAAAAGGACTATTTTAATATAAAACAATACTATATCAGCATGTGATGAGGTAAAATGTTGAAACTATAAGAATTTTATAAAATGATAATTTGGAAATTATAAATGCTTTTATTCAAAACTGCAAAAAGGTATCAGTTACTCTAAGTTGCTGGAATCACAGGTCCTATGAATAATAGCATCTACTGATGAACCAAATCAAGAATGCATAATACAAAATTAATTTTCAAAAGGGAACAATTCTGGTTAAAATCAGAATATAAAATTATGAAGAACAAATCAATGTGACAGTGGTGACAGAAGTATTGTCATTTGGCCAATAAAAACAATGAATGCTCATGACCAGTGGTTCCAGGTGTCCTGTGCAGGTGACTCAGGTGCTGCCAGGATCTGGTTCCCGAGAGTGGGGAGAAGGCCCAGTGAGTGGGGCTGTGGACCCTGCCCCAGCTTTAAACGGAAAACCTCTACTTCTGTTTTACCATACATTGAGAACATATGTAATCGTTTCTTTTAAAGGCTTCATGTGTTTAAAAAAAAAAATTCTGAAAACCACTGTAACATATATATGCTGTTTCCAAGCACACAAAAAGAACTGAAATTAGGACATCTTAGACAACAAAGGCTCCGAACTATTGGAAGAATCATCAGTTCTTTTCTCGCCTAACTGATATCAAGATGACTTGTCAACTAATGAGACATACTATAGAGCAACAGACTACTAGTTAGGTACCTTCAGGTTAACAACACATATCCAGAGGAGAGCTAAGTGGGAAAATGTTAACTGCTCACCTGGGCTAGGCAACCACTGTGGCGAGCAGATCCCCTCTCAATGAGAGGATTGGCAATGAGCAGTTTCTGAGAAGCCAAAAGCTGTTCGTGGCTGAAAGCTCACTTGCTTCAGACATTTCAGGGAACAAGAGACCTGAGCTGTGGTGCAAGTTTTCAGTAAGACCGATAGGCTTAGGGTGCATCCATTTACAGATCCATAATAAACACGTAATTCTCAATGTTAAATTGTTCAAGATGACTGGCCAATACACAGATATGCATAGTACTTGGCACACAGCTCCTCAATAAAACGTTACTGAATCTATTCTGAAAAGGTAATGTTTGCTAAGTATTATGTTCTAAAGGATAAAAATCAGAAAAAAAATTCTACTAAAAAAATAAAAACGCACTGTATCCTATGCAGCAACTGGATTTTTTTTAAAGTTATAACAGGTTTTATGCTTAATACAATACATTCTGGATTTAGGAAATAGCTCATTATTAAAACATAAGATATGATTTTGATTAATAACCACTATCATGAGTTTAAAAAAATCAGACTAAAAATGTTACTTAAAAAAAAAGAGAGAATATCTAAATGAATCTACACAAATGTACAAATCAATATATGGGACCTTAACAAGGAAAGTATAAACATTGCCTTTTTTAATAAGTAAAGTCTTTCATTGATTAAAAGGAAATAGAATTCTGAATTTCCCCTTATATGTTTGGTTCTTACAGTTTTCCTGGATAAACCCATCCTAACCATTTTAACAAACTCCAATTAAAATAATCTAATAATGTTGAATCTAGGGCTACCTATCATCAATGCAGATACAGAATCCTGAGTGTCACATACAATCAATGAAAAGGTCAAATCTGACCATGTTTACGGTATTCAATAATGAAAAAGAAAGATCTAGGAAGGCAAATAAAAATGGCTTACTTACATGAGGTTCCTTTTACTTGTTGATTGTACAATTTTAAGAACTGAATACGTGCCTTTCCTTCTCATTCGGTACTTTTCATGAAGTCCTATAAGGATGCATGCTGTTTTGAACTGTGCATGTCTAAATTGCAGCAAAATTCAGGCACAAGTAAAGGTAGTTTTATCCCATGGAATAGCACTAAGTATAGTTCTAGAAACAAATTCAATATCATCTAATTTAAGAAGCCCCTGTTGTCAGGCATGGACATTGGCTTATAAAACATATATTGCCTAGAGCAAAGCACAGCAACCTTCGCATCATTCCAACAATTTTCCACTCTTTCTTATTTACAAACATTCAAAAACAACATTTTCGTCATATGAAAGTAAACAACCACAAGAACAAAATCCGCGTTTCTCACACCAGTTTCTAATCCAAATAGCCTCACTGCAATTACTGTAAATCACTAGCAATCACTGAATTGATTGGGCAAAGATTAAGTTAGCACTTTCCTCCAAAAAAAGTAAAAAAGAATGCTTTAAATAGACATAATCCATAGAGAACTAGGTTTGCATCATAAATGCTGGGGTTCGTGAGAAGTGTGTAAAATGACAGATTCATGATTTGGGGTCAGAGGGAAATCCATTGCTCCACACAGCACAAAAGACTTCTCTCTGCTCAGGCGACCAGAGCTCCTTTCATTTCGTAGCCGGGTTCTTGGGAGGAAGGAGTTTGTATGTGTTGAAGTAGCCTACCACCTGCTGGGGGATCTCCGCCAAGACACATTGAGCAAGCGCTTCTTTTGGAGCCTTGTGAAAAAACAAAATCAAAGCAATTTTATTAGCAACCAAATTTTTACTGGCACTTTGATAAAAGACTAGGAAAAAGCAGTTAGTTCCCAATTCCTAGCTTGTATCTTGTCTCAGGTACTGTCCATGAAACATGGAATAAAGCAATGTTACTTAAGAATGCTTGAGTATGCTCACGAACATTTATCAAGTACTTTTGTGCTGCCCTCATTTTGGCATTTAATGATAATGTTTTTGCTCTTTAACTTTTAAATGTGGGCCTTTCATTCACTTGGTATTAAGTTTTTTAACTTTTTATTTTGAAATAATTACAGATTCATAGGAAGGTGCAAAAATAGTACAGAAAGGTCCCACGTACCCATCACCCAGTTTCCTCCAAAGATAACATCTTATATAACTTTAGTACAATATCAAAACCAGGAAACCAACATTGGTATAGTTCACAGAACTTATTCAGATTTCACCAGTTTTACATGCACTCATTTGTGTGTGTGTGTGTGTGCGTGCACACAAGTGTAGTTCTATGTAATTTTATCATCTGGGTAGATCTGTGTAACTACCATCACAATCAAGATACAGACCTGTTTCATCATCACAAAGATCCCTAACATTACCACCTTTTTAATACACACCCACATCATTCCCCACACCCACCCCCGCTCATACATTGGTTGGTGGGAATGTAAAATGACATAACTGTGCCAGAAAAGTTCAGCAGTTTCTTTAACAACTAAAATGCAACAACCATACAACCCAGCAACTGCACTTCGGGGTATTTATCCCAGAGAAATAAAAACTTATGTTCACATAACAACCTGTATACGAATGTTTACAGCAGCCTTTGTACGTCATAGATGAGAACTGGAAACAACTGAAGATGTCCTTCACTGGGTGAATGGTCAAACAAACTGGTACACCCATACCATGGAATACTACTTAGCAACAAAAAGGAATATATTTAACAACTGGGAAGACTCTCAGAGAATAAAGCTGAGTGAAAAAAAGCCAGTGTCAAGGTTATATACTGTATGATTCCATTTATATAACATTGTTGAAATGACAAACATATACAAATGGAGAACAGACTAGTGGTTGCCAGGGGTTAAGGAGGGAATGAAGGTGGGAAGGAAGTGGATGTGGTTATAAAAGGGCTACATGAGATAGCCTGCTATATTGGACCTTGACTGCATCAAAGTCAATATCCTGGTTAGGATTCTGGACCTATAGTTTTACAAGATGTTACCATTAAACTGGGTAAAACAGTTTACTGTTTACAATTTTCATCAAATCAACTTGTAGTTTGGTAAATTCATCATATACTTGCATAGAGTTTTTCTGTTATTACACAGGTAAAGATAAAATATATTCTAAAACATTCACAACAACATCTTTTTAAACAATTTATCACATGGACTGCAAGAGGCACACAAGTATACAACCTGAAAAAAAACTGCCAAATTTAATCAAGGGTCTTCAAATGGAAAATTCACACACTCTAACAACCCCTGACACCTACTCAACTGCCTGGTTATGGACCGGCAAAGGTCTGTGTTCAAACACCTTAGAGTGCATGAAGAGTAGGGAGGAGTGGTACTCACGCTCTGGAACTGTCTGAAAGGCACAAACTGGACAATATCCCTGATGGCTATCTCGCCCGACGGGGAGCGGAGACTTCCACCATCACCATCCAGAAACTCCATGGCACCAAAGTCAGCATCTCCGACTCCGACAATGATGATGGACATAGGCAGCTTGGCAGCGTTAACGATAGCTTGTCTGGTCTCATCAAGGTCTGTGATCACGCCATCGGTAATGATTAAGAGCACAAAATATTGCTGCCAAGAAAGACAATTATGTCCACTGAGCCAGCCGAGCTCCCCAACAATAAAAGCAATGGTTAGACTCTAATAAATACCATATGCTAACATGGTATATATGGAATCTTAAAAATAAAATGGTTCTGATGAACCTAGGGGCAGGACAGGAATAAGACACAGATGTAGAGAATGGACTTGAGGACACGGGGAGGGTAAAGGGTAAGCTGGGACAAAGTGAGAGAATAGCACTGACATATATACACTACCAAATGTAAAATAGATAGCTAGTGGGAAGCAGCTGCATGGCACAGGGAGATCAGCTCAGTGCTTTGTGACCACCTAGAGGGGTGGGATAGGGAGGGTGGGAGGGAGATGCAAAAGGGAGGGGATATAAGGATATACGTATGCATATAGCTGATTCATTTTGTTATACAGCAAAAACTAACACAATACTGTAAAGCGATTATACTCCAATAAAGATGTTAAAAAAAAAAAAAGCAATGGTTAATGACATTTCCAGCCTGATGAGTCATTTAGTCTCTTTCTTGCTCATTTTCCTTGTCAGTCTCTACCCAGGATACCATCTATATGAAATATTCTAAGATTCTCTGATGACAAGGAAATTAACTGATACAAAAACTGTAGTTTCATTAAAAGTGCAACAGACCACAAAAGAGGGCTGGCATAAATACACAGAAGCAAGACAACTAAATGTCAGAGATTAAACTTTCAGTTAGCACTGAAACATTCTGATTTACCTGAAGTACTGAATATGTCAAAGTACCTATCAAGGGAGCAAGTGGCAACTCCGTTCTTAAAAGATCAAATACGGAGGAAGTAGAATCGTTCATCAAACTAAAACATACTTTTTAAAAAATGGATATGGTTCAAGGTGAGGAAATCTTTCTCTCAATCCCATCATCTCTGATGAATCATTTTAGAGAGTGGTAAAATGTTACATAAAGTTGTACTCCATCCTTTGGGTCATTTAAGTCTAAAATGGAAATAAGATTGATAATAGTAGCTATCATGTGCTGAGTGTTTACTCTGACTCAGGCACTGTGCACTTTATATGAACTATCTTCTCTCACTCTTTCAACAACTGCATGAGGTACTTATCGCTTATTTCTGAGGATACTGAAGCTGAGTGGGGTTTGGTATCCAGGGTCCAACAGGTAATGACTCTCTAATTCAAACTTCTTTAGTATGCTAAGTAATTTTGCAACAGCAACTGAAGTGGTAGGTCTCCTGAAGCCTAAACTTGCTAAGGCTACTTCAAAAAATTTTTTGAGAACCTACCTGAGAAAATTCTTTCAAAAGACAGAGAAAAAACTTATAAGTATACAGGTTGTTTAGTTGTTGTCTTGTTCTTAATGGTCACTAATTTAACAACAGATGTTACTCCCAAACCAAGGATGATGTATCATTGCTTCATGCCCTGTCTTTGTATCTCAGCAGACCAAATAAACAGAAAAATGGCTCTGGGAACAACAACCAATCCACATTCTCCCTGCCCCCTGGCGACAGGGCACTTACAGAAGCTGTCTGTTGTTGTGTGGCTGCAGCAGCAAACCTGGCCACATGATTTATGATTGGAGAAAAATTAGTTGGTCCATAGAGTTTTATCTGAGGAAGGCAGGCCCGATATGCCTCTATAATGCCTTGAATTCCTAGACAAAAAAAGCAGGATTAAAAATTCTCAAGCACAATTTAATTGTTTACTATTCACCATACTGGCTAATTTAATTTATATACCAACATACAGTGCTTTAAACAGTCAAAAGTTCTATATTCAGGAGTTCTCTAAGGTATATAATATTACAAAACTCCATAGCTATGCTCTATCACAAAAAAACCCTATAAACTTTACTCTCCCCCACTAGAAGGCATGTGTTTTCACCTCAGCCAAATTATTCATTAGTCTAAAGTAGGGTTGTTATATTGCTTAATTTTGATATGTTTTGGGAATAAGACTGATGGAAAAAGAACCATACAAAAGATGCTGCAGCATACAACTGATGACAAGGTAAGAAAACGTAACTGAAAAAATGGAAAAACTTTTGCATATACGACCAGAGGTTCTACAGAAATATCATATAAGGTTAAGCATGGTACAGTAGACTCTATTAATTGCAAATATTCACTTCCAGGTTATTTATCACATTTTGCTGCAGAAACACTAAAGCATTTGTTTATGGGGTGCACCTTAGGCCTGCTGGGCATTATGTAATGGAAGACTGGGCAGGCCCATTTGACTAGCTTTGTCCAGTGCATATGAATGGATATGACATCCATGTCTAAGCAGATGTTTTAAGAATCACGGCCTGTTTTTGCCAGCTTTCTTGCTTTTTCCCCTCTGCCATGGGAACAGCATATCCCAGACAGCCCGAGACCCAGAATGAGTAGAAACAGAGCAGCGCAGCAGTCTAGCCAAGCACCAAGAGATTTGTAAAGTGAGCAAGAAATAAATTATTGTCATTACAAGTTACTGAGATTTAGAGACTGTTGATTACAATAGCACAACCTATCAAAAGTTGAATGGCATTCCTGATTAAAGCACTGCTGATGAATCTGCCCCTAATACACAACAGAGTGTCTGGGATGTAAGTAAGAGACTAGAAATCCTAGAAATTCCCAAGAGTGCCTTGCTAAGATTAATAAGAAAATCTTAAAAGACTTCTAGTGTAAACCAAAACAGGTCTCTTGCTTAAAAAATGTCCAGCAGGACATAGATCAATAAGGAGGAAAAGCATATACTTGGTTTAAAAGCTTCACAAGACCAAGTCTCTCCACTTGCCAATAAACTCCTCTTAGGCACTTTGAGTTTAGGAATAAGTGGTCTTATGAACAACCTTTGAGAATGTAACTAATTTATACATAGAGGTGATTTTACATGCATAAGGTGAGGCTGGAACTAGAGGTTAGTCAGTCCAGTAGTTACAAAAATAATATTAACATAGGCCAGCAGCAGGATCTTACTGTAATGATATATGCTATAGAAAAATTTAACCCATAACCACAGCAATAGTAATATTTTCTTCCATTTTTATCATCTAGCTTGCTTGTCAATCTCAAGGTATACAAAACTGTTAATTAAATTTCTTCATAAACATCAATTGCCTTCCATTCCTCAACTAAAACTAAATTATGCTAAAATCTTTCCACTACATCAAGGGAACAAGTTAGACATATTCTTTCTGGGCAACTAAGGTGGATGATTAATTAGGAAAACGGGATTAAACTTCCTTGTCTTAAAATAAGGCTGTATTTTTTCTGTGTAGTATTTCCTCTGTCTAACATCAAATTGATTGTTTTTTCCAGACTAAACCAAAAGCAGAAAAGCTCTGCTTGGTGGCAGCCCAAAGATGGGCTCATGTTACTCACAGAGTAAATGAACTTCTAAAATGAATTATCCCATGGTATGTCATCCATATTTACTTGCAATAAATAAAATCTAATTTCAACAAATTCCAAAAATTGTTCCAATTTCATCATAAGCATGAAGCACATTTCTTGAAAAGAAAAAGATTCCCAGTTTCATATGCCTAGGGATACAAAAGGTCACAACCAGCCACTGAAAGTGCATAAAAGAACACTGAATTAGTACAAGAAAAGAGTTTCAGAAAAAAGGAGAAAATCCTAATACAAACTACTCCCAACAAAATGGTCATGCTCTTCTACTTTATGGATATTATTTAGGAAGGGAAGGAAAGAACACTCTCTTCTGTTTTATAATTGTTACAAGGACCCTTTGCAGAAAATTAGCTTATTGTCTACAATTTTATGCCTCTGCCCCTATATCTTTTCCTCCTCCAAACTGTTCAGTCTTACATACTTTTGTGGGAGATTTGGCATTTTAGGTTGATTGCTCAATGTGGCAAAAAGGAAGAGGCACTGGAATATTTGAGGGATAAACAGAAAAGTGAAATGAAAGAAATGCCTGTCCCTGTTTTCCACACAAAGGAAAGCTACTCTTGGAGCTTAGTTCTGTGTTTCTTTAGCCCACCCCATCTCCTTACAGAACCCTGTGTAACAAGTAATTTGATGCTAGACACTTTTTCTTCAAAGAGACTTAACTGCTAATCTGAGAAAAGCATCTGTATACTGAATGACCTGTTTTCATTGAAGGTTTATTTTAAAATCAACTTATATGTGAAAATAATATGCATATTCTTATGGATCTACCCTCAAGATTGAGAATCTTTTGTTCTAGTAAAACTCTTAAGGTAGAAGAATTTAGCCTGCAATCTTCATCATCATCATAGTGATCTGCATTATTATCATTACCATGCTAACCACCAACTTGGGGCAAAATTCTACTACTTTACATGATAGAAAATTCAATGTGTCACAAAAAGAAACCTAGAGAGGAAATTTGAGTAGCTTTTTTCAGTTTAAAAATTCATGTTTATTTTTAACTTACCATTACAGTAGGGATTGGACGGATTAAAGTTTATTGGAAATTCATGAGAAACCTGTCAAAAGATGAAAGAAGGACTGATGAGGCTTGTTTTGCTTTGCTAGGAGGCAAAGCTTCGCAATGAGAGTTCCTCTTACCTGCCACTGAGGTGGGATCTGAGCTCCAAAACCAAAAGCTGGAAACATCTTATCACTGAAAAGAAAATTTGAAAACAGAAAAAGGTCATTTTTATCTTTATTCATAATAAAACCAATATGAGCTTATTTTCTAAAAATTTGAAATCTTAGAAAAATATAAAACAAAGATTAGAACCAATGTTAACATTTGGCAGCTCTCATTCTAAATATTTTTCTGTGCATTGAAGGAGAAAAATGTCTCTCTATATATATTAAAATGGACTTTATATTAATATTTTATAACATACTCTTTTTTATTTATACAGTTTATCGTTTCACTAGATAAATATATAAATAAATCCGTAAAGTTTTAAAAAGCACAAGTTTTTTCATTTGTTTACAAAAACACTCATTTGGCAGCAAAACCTGACCTCAACTGACATGAAGTTATCTATAGCCTTTATTTATGCCGCTTAATATGAATATTCATACATTTATAGCCACAGAAACATGGTACAAATGCCATACATTGTAAAACTCTCACATTTCTGCAGCAAAATGTATGAATATTCAGCCCAAGTGTTTAGAGATAATTATGGACCAGAATATATAACACCATGTGAATGGCTGTTAAGTATTCCACTGTATAGATATTCTCCCCCAAATGATAGACACCCTATGTCTTGCCATTATAAAACACTGTAATGATTACACTAATTTTTCTACTAGGGATATTCTCTTTTATATTAATTCTTAATGGTTCTTTTTGCATTGAGGATAGAACCTATATCTTATATGTCACGATATTTTTCCCGGTTGATAGTCTGTCTTTAACTTTGTTTAAAATATCTTCCCTTTTTTAGTTATTAATATTAATAAATGTGAACACATAAAAATTCTTTCATGATTTTTGCCTTCTCTGTCTTGCTTAAAGGCTGTCCTCACTGCAAGATTATAAACAATTCATATATATTTTCTCCTAGAACTTCCAAGCTTTGCTTTTGATGTTAAACTTGAAATTCATCTGGAGTAGGATATGAAGCAGAAACTGCTGCTCTACACCAGTATCCATTCTCTTCCTTTTTAATTATGGATCCCCTGGGCTACTGGCAACCACACTAGCTGTACTCTAGCTTCTCTGGGCTGGCAGTGGTTAGGTGGCTGGAGGTGTGAGTAGAATGATTTGTCAGCCACTTCTCAATCACACTCTAAAAGGGAAAGCACATGCATTCTCAGTTCCTTGGTCCTCTTCCCACTGGCTAGAGAGGATGAGAATCACAGCAGCTGCGTCGGACCCAGGGTGGAAGCTATAAGAGGCAGAACTGCCCTCTCAGTCCTGAACTACTTACCTCTAGAGATGCAACATGAAACAGACATAAACCTCTATTTTGTCAAAACCACTTTGTTTTGGGGTAGCCATTTCAGCAATTTTGTCTGTGGTCTATACAGAATAGTATCCTAACATACACAGGTATGAGTCAGGGATCCAAATCCAGTTCCTGTCCTGTTTGACAGCTGTTACAACCCCTTTCCCCGCAAATGCCATCTCTATCATATACTAAATTCACATACACTTTTGGGTCTATTTCAAGACTGCTTACTTGTTTTTACTGGTCATGTACTAGTCCCATACTCAATTAATATATAATACTGTATATATGAAACTGATATAATGTTATAAACCACTAAAAAATTAAATTAAATTATATATATATATATATATATATATATATAGCTTTAAAATAAATTTTAGTACCTGCTAGAACAAATTTCCCTTCATTCTTTTTCCCTGAAAAACTTCTTGACTATTCTGATTCATTTTACCCTCTAGAAAATTTTAAGAATCATTTTGTCAGGGTTTCACTGCAATTCTGATTAAAACTGACTAATACAGGGAGAAATGTTATATTTTACATCATTGTGACATCTGCCTATCTAGAATCGTGGTATATCTTTCCATTTAAACAAGTTTCCTTCTTTGTCCCTCAGTACAATTCTGTAGTTTTTCCTCACTAAAGATCCTAGACCTTTTACTAAATTCACTCTCATTTTTTTTTGCATTATGAATTGTGATCTTTTATCCACTATAATTTCTTCATTTGGTTTTTGCTGGTTAGTGAAAACTTGTTGATTTTTTATTTTATGTTGTATCTGACCACCTTTTAAACTTTCACACTTTCTAATATTTTTCACTTGATTCTCTCAGGTTTGAATTCATTCCTCATAGGTTTGGTAGAATTTATGTATGAAGGTTGTCTTGGCCGGTGCCTTCGTGAGGAGAGGCTCTTTGACCAACCACTCCATTCCTTCCACGGTTCCTGGGCTATACAGGTTCTCTGCTTCTTTGAGTCAAATTTGGTAATTTACAGCTTTCTAAAAAAAATCATCCTTTAACCTAGATTTTTCAATGAAATAGCATAAGCTTTTACAGAACATTAACATAATTTTTTTTCTGAATTTATGCTTATAATCTCTGTCTCATAACTAATATTCTACACATTTTCTCTTTTTCTCGGGGGGTCAGTGTTGCCAAAGGTTTGCCTAAGCTTTGCTGAACTTGCAAAGAATCATCTCTCCATTTAATTTATTAATTTGGTGACTTTCCAAGTCATTATTTTGTGTGTTTGGAGGAAGCAGAGCACAGCAGAGTTGTGAGGCCATGTCCCTGGAGCCAGACAGTCCAGGTTCAGTCCTGTCTCTGCCAGTTACCAGCTGAGTGACCCTGGACAAGTTACTTTATCACCTATGCCTCAGTTTTCTCACCTGTAAAATGAAGATGATAACAGCACCTATTGCACAACTAAGTATGAGGATTTGATGAATACCATATAAAAAGGATTTAAATTTTCTCTGACACATAATAGCTAACATGTATATGGAATCTCCTACTATTGCAATATCTATATTTGTCTTCCTATTCTTTAATTTTATTCTGTTGAAAAGCTAGTTCATTCTATATTCAATTCTTGTTTAAAAATAAAACACATAAAGCCAGAAATTTTCCTCTATAAAGACAGGACCATGTACAGTCCTCTCATTACCCTTTATTTCTAGATAGTCTGTTATTACACTTTGATTTCCTCTTTGATCTAAGAACTACTTAAGAGTTTTTTTAATTTCCATGTGGTAAACTTTTTTTAGTTAACCTTTTGTTTTACCTTCCAGGAACCAGGCTGAGAAAGTAACCCTATAAATTTTCTACTTTTTATCTAAGTCCCATTACAACTGTGTTACTTTGAAATCTTTATTATATTTCTAGCTATTTTCAATTGAAATTTTTTTTTTTTTTAATTTTATTTATTTATTTATTTATGGCTGTGTTGGGTCTTCGTTTCTGTGCGAGGGCTTTCTCCAGTTGTGGCAAGTGGGGGCCACTCTTCATCGCGGTGCATGGGCCTCTCACTATCGCGGTCTCTCTTGTTGCGGAGCACAGGCTCCAGACACGCAGACTCAGTAATTGTGGCTCACGGGCCCAGTTGCTCCGTGGCATGTGGGATCTTCCCAGACCAGGGCTCGAACCCGTGTCCCCTGCATTGGCAGGCAGATTCTCAACCACTGCGCCACCAGGGAAGCCCTCAATTGAAATATTTTGATAGTCTGTTACTAAACATGTCCACCGTTATATTTTCATTTTGGATTATATAAGGTGTCCTATAAAGTAATTTTTAAATTATATTTAATGAATTTTGTCTTAAATTCTATTAGGCTGATACTGAAACTGCTACCCCTGCTTTAGACTTGTTTGCATTTGCCTGAAAATTTCATCTCTTTAAATGTCATAACAAATTAATGAAAAGCTCCATCAAATATGTAAGGGCTTTTATCATAAAATAATAGGTGAAAATTTTTACTGTGCCCTAATAGATTGAGAACAAAAAGTTAATAATGTGGATTTTTTTCCTATTGTTTACTAAACCTTCAAGAAGACCTATTTAAATCTATTCAAAATCTATCCATTGAGAATCTATTCAAAATATTTTATAGCAATTATGTCAAGTTATCCTTCAACACTTGTTGAAAATCACCATTAAGAAAATAATTTGACAATGACTGCCAAGGAAATAGACATGTTAAGAAATAGCATCTATGAGTGTTTACAAAATGTGCCTTCTGGACTTCAATTACACAGATAACTTATCCCAAATGAGTAAACCCCAAGGAAACCAGATCAAAGAAACTAAAAGCCTTGCCAACTTCAGTCAGCTGTTAAAGAAGCAAGCTATAATAATACATTATAACTAATCACAGCCAGAGATTAGAGGTCAAAGGTAAACACTAACTAAGACTGTCACAAAGGGAAAAATAGAAAAGATAAGACAAGAAATTTTAGGGAGAAAGCTATTCCTCCCCAGCATCCTTATCCCATCAACTGCATCAGAGAACCAGCAGACGATACAGAAACTGCCCTTTCTGGGGAGTTATGTGTTGGAGTCATACTCACGTATCATAATCTTGAATGACCAGTCCCACAGACCAGATTGCAGTCAAATACTCATTAACACCATTGGGGCTGATGTAATGAAGGGAGTCGGGAGACCTTGGATCACCATTGGAGCCAGTGAAGTCCACGCCCACCTGCCAAATAACAAAACTGCAGCCCTTACTGAGATGAAGGCAGGGACACCCTTGCTTGATGTCCAGGAAAACACAAACATTGAATTTTGAGACCGAAACATTCATCCCAGAGCCTGCTACTGCCATTTCCTAACAAATGCCTGAGCCTATGGGTATTTCCAGACACAATTAAACAATTAAAGCCACAGCATGAAGCAACCCGCTACCCCTAGTTTTCTAGATGTCTTAAATCATGGATTATTACATCCATGGCTTTAGGCATAGGGCTTGTTTTTTTTGTATGTTTGTTTGATTATGCTTTTTATTATTTAAATTACTGCAGGATAATCACTGATTTGTACATATCTGCTTTCTTGCAGGAGAAAATATTTAACAAGGCCAAAAGCTTCAGGGTGAACCTAAACAAACTCTCTGAGGAGACCATACTCAACAGATTGTATAAATTTCATCACAAAGTCAATTTGGCAGTGAAAGAAGGAACACTGCAAAATGGAGGGAAAAAAAAATCACGTTACAGCCCTATTTTGAAAAATTCAGTGTGTTACTCACAGTAAAATTCAGTTGACATCCTCCCATGACATAGTCAAGGAATGTACATTCCACTGTAATCTAAAAACAAATAGTAAACTTAAAATTAAAACTCTCCTACTACATAAGAAAAGCAAATAGCTCTCCGGCATTTTTTTTTTTTTTTTTTCGGTACGCGGGCCTCTCACTGTTGTGGCCTCTCCCGTTGCGGAGCACAGGCTCCGGACGCGCAGGCTCAGCGGCCATGGCTCACGGGCCCAGCCGCTCCGCAGCATGTGGGATCTTCCCGGACTGGGGCACGAACCCGTGTTCCCTGGATCGGCAGGCGGACTCTCAACCACTGCGCCACCAGGGAAGCCCTGGCATATATTTTTAACCATCTATAAACTGAACAGCACATGATATAAACATATGGAAAACATCCCTGCATTTGAATTTAAGGTACCCTGCCCCTACATGTCATGAATCTGTAAGATTTTACTTCAAGATAATTATAGCAATGTGAAGATTAGAATATTAATGGCCAATGATGAAATACACACACTGTAAGTTTTAAGAAACTAGTAATGAGTCTAATATGTTGAGAGCTTTAATTAAGTATAATAAGCAAGATTAAAAACAAAAACTCCCACTTGTTTATAAGAAATCTCTTGGATTTTTTCCCCTTCACTCATAACATCTCATCTTGAAATAATGACCAGGATAGATGCACTAAGTCAAGCCATTTCCACTAATGTGCTGGAAAATGCCAATGGTGCCTTATATTTCCTCAGATAATGAAAAACTTTGATATTCTTTGTCCTTTGCTAAAAAGTTGTCAAACCTTGGAAGCAAAGTTACTTGGAAGATTTCTCTACTGTTTCCTATTCTCTTCTTTTCCCTAAAGGTGCCCAGTTGCTCATGTAATTTTCAACTGTCCACACAAACTGTTTGTTTAGAAGAACTCGAAATGTGATCTCATTACACTATAAGTGGTCAAGAAAAACTGACCTCACACTGTTTCACACTGATAACACCTGAATTCTTGTAGCTTTTCTTCTTTTGCCTCTTTTTTTCATTTATGCACTCAAATTCAACCTGTAGGAAGAAAAGACAAAAATGTTCATTATTACTAGCGATATAAGAAATGCCAATGTAAATTTAAATGAATGACTTTTTTCTCTTGGAATCAAACCACCTACTGATGTAGGTCTGTTACAAAACACAACTCTGAAACAACTGCATACTATGTCATATATATGAAATATTTATCAGTGATATTTCCAAAAAGGACTTCTAAAATTGTGTACCTTTTAAAATAGTTCCTAAGTATAAATTTTGCCTCTGTAGATCATTTCCTTATAAATGCTCCGAGTAATAACCTTTTTTCTTCATAATAAAGGATATAAAACATTACTTCTAGCTGTTACCCACACAAAGTACAAAAATACACTGCTTAGAAAAGAAAAAAAAACAACCATCAGAAAACAGAAATATATGAAGCCCAACTCTATGGTAAAATATGCAGCAAAGATCATCTCTTTCCACTGGGAATATGTGTAGAAATCGATCTAGTATCTTACATCTTCTCAGTATAGTTTCTTCCTCCAAACAGATCATCTTCCTTTCCACCTCCTATCCACTTATCCCTCTGTAAGGCTTGGCTAAAGTTATCCTCCTCTATAACATCAACTCCTGTTCTAGGCTTCTCTGATCTCCATCTATCTCATTAAACTTCTACAACCACATAAAATTTAGTTACATACTTGGTATTGTTGTCAATTATTTCATTTCATTAATCTTTTTCCATGGCTAGGGTATAATCACTTCCAAGTTATACCTTCAAATTCTCACTGCCTTGCCTAATAATAAGAGATACTCAATGAATACTGGATAAGTCACCTCTTCTGGTTAACAGAAAGCAACTTATATACTTTGGACAGAGGCATTACTAATTTTTGAAGAATCAAACATTTAAAAATACTTTTGATACAATGATACAAAACAAAATGATGTTAAAAAAACTCCTTGAGGGGCTTCCCTGGTGGCGCAGTGGTTGAGAGTCTGCCTGCCGATGCAGGGGACACGGGTTCGTGCCCCGGTGTGGGAAGATCCCACATGCCGCGGAGCGGCTAGGCCCGTGAGCCATGGCCGCTGAGCCTGCGCGTCCGGAGCCTGTGCTCCGCAACAGGAGAGGCCACAACAGTGAGAGGCCCCAACAGTGAGAGGCCCGCTGAAACCAGTGAAACAACAATCCAGATCACTCTTCATATTTAGTTCTTTTAGGTAGCTTGCTTTATTTTAAATGTTCAGATTTTCATTATTTTCCATTATTTCTGCCTTTAAAAATAAAAAAAAATCTTTAAATAGAATATTTACAGCTGAATTTTGCTGTTGTTTTAATTCAAACTGTTAACCTAATTCAATCTCTGCATTTAAACCACTGAGTGTGATTTGAAAGCCTTCCTTACTTCACACAAGCACTTCTGTTATTTCTAGTATCTGGGCTTTGTGACAAGGGTGTAGGAACAGGACTAGAGATCTCTACATGACCTACTGAAAATTCTAGTCCCCCTACGTTTGTTCAAAACTCATTTCTCCCAATTATTTAAATCAAATAGCTGATAAGGTTTATTTATTCATTTAGCTTTTAAGTTTTGATCTAAAACTATCAGTATCCTCTTTTGGGTCACCTCATCTACTACATGACTTCGTAAAAAAGACCTTCCCACCTGACCATAATCTCTTACCTTTTAAACCTCATGTTTAGATTTTCAGAAGCAAATGCTATATACAGGAGCATTATTCAGGTCTCTAAGCAGGTAATAAACATTTCATATTATTCTAAGTAAGCTATAAAGAGAATTAACAACTTATTTCATTCAAACTAGAAAGGTAAGTAAGAGGGAAACAACACTCTGGAATAGTTTTTAGGCACTTTGCCTTACAGACAGAAAAGTTTCAAGAAGCAATCTTAGAAATATGTGGGGATGATAACTAATAAACTGAACGTAGGGCTTCCCTGGTGGCGCAGTGGTTGGGAGTCCGCCAGCCGATGCGGGGGACGCGGGTTTGTGCCCCGGTCTGGGAGAATCCCACGTGCCGCAGTGCGGCTGGGCCCGTGGGCCATGGCCGCTGGGCCTGCGCGTCCGGAGCCTGTGCTCCGCAACGGGAGAGGCCACAACAGTGAGAGGCCCGCGTACCGCAAAAAATAAATAAATAAATAAACTGAACGTAGTTAAGGCAGACAAATGATCTTAACAAAATTAGTACCATTAGATGGCAGCTTAATATTACATAATTTGAAATAGTGTAACTATGCTTTTATCATTCCCTTGGGTGAGGACAAGTCAGAGGAAAGCCACAGGCAGAATGTAAAAGCCAATTTGTAAAATGTCCAAAAGGAGAATAAATGAACCCAATTCAAGTCCAGGTACTTGTCTAGTGTAGATATTAATTACTGTGACCAGTGAAATGCCAAGATCTTTAAAACAAAGGATTTTCAATCAAACCATATAAACTGTCTGAAGACAAAGGAAACCAAACCTCAAAACATAAATGAAAACTCATCCCAAGTAAGAATTTTGGATCATCCAACTAAACAAATAAAATCCACAGACTTCAGAGCATTACATAATATAGAGTAAAAGCATGGAAAACTATTTTCTATGCCAAGAGAAAAAATGAATAAATACAGGGCCAAACTATAAGGTATATGCAAATGACAAGGATGCAACTTACAGGTGAATTTCTGGAGGCTTCTTTCAGTTTTGTCATGGTGGTTTGAAATGTTCCAATGAGATCATGGGACCCATCATTGTCATAATCATAACACTCTACCTAGAAGTAAGTATAATAAAAATATATAAAAATCAATATAATTTTGTTAAAAAGTATTGGCTGCAATAAATGGGACTTACCAAGAAGTGTACTTTTAATTAAAATTAGTGAAAATGTTTAACATACAGTCCTACTTGGAGAAGTAGGAACTAACTTCCTAGAGGAACAATACTGAAACACTTTCAAACACTCCCTATCCTTGGAATGGGGTTCTAGGACACATCACAGGCAGATGAAAAACACAAATACTGTTCAAATTCCACATTAAGCAGTTTCCAGTTCCTGTACATGCCCTTTACAAGTGCTGATAAAATCAAAATGGAATTAGACCTTCTTTCTCATCTGCTTTTTACCTTGTTATCATTTTACAATGGCTAAAGCCACTATCTATCTGGAGGAAGAAAGGAAGTCAGTATCCTAGGCAGCTAAAAATTGTATAATTAAATTCTAGATGATTAGTAACTACGGAAAACATATTTCATTAGTTGCAGTTTGGTGAGGTTAGGCTTCTATTAGGAGTTAGATATGATGAAGTCAGATTTGCATCATTCTGAGGATCACAACTCTCACAATGAAAAGGAAAATTCCAGGAAAACAGTTTTTTATACACTGAGGAAGTATCTATACTGGGTCATAATTATTTTATTTCCACATAAGACAGGACTCTTGGCTATGGCTCTCATTAAAGGCTCGCTCTCTCTTGAAGCAGACAGAAGAGAGCTGAGGGTATTTGATTTCCATATAGTTTTGCACCAGGTTGACAGATGTAGCCAAAGAGTAAATATTCACAAGAATACCTGAATATTCATTGCAATGAGAAAATAAGGTGATGTGAACTCTTAGCAAACAGAGGTGTTCACTGTGATCATAAATAACCGATTTTTTTTTTTTTTTTTTGCGGTACGCGGGCCTCTCACTGCTGTGGCCTCTCCCATTGCAGCCTCTCCCGTTGCAGAGCACAGGCTCCGGACGCGCAGGCTCAGCGGCCATGGCTCACGGTCCCAGCCACTCCGCGGCATGTGGGATTTTCCCGGACCGGGACACGAACCCGTGTCCCCTGCATCGGCAGGCAGAATCTCAACCACTGCGCCACCAGGGAAGCCCCGATGTTTTTATAGTGCTTTGTAATTTCAAACATTTCTTTCTGCAAACATTTATTACATGCATTGCACACAATATCTACTGAGGCTTGTCAGGTAGGAGAAGAATTAAATAGTCTTAGAAGATGATATATCTTGTGTGGTAACCAACAATGTAAATCTGTTCCAAGGAAAATTTTGAATCCTTCTATAGCCTATGATTTAAAATAAAAGCCTGTACCTGAGAGGCAATTTGCATCTTACCCTATGCCAATCTTCCATCCTGCTATAATCCTTTACAAAGTTATATTAATCACCAAGCTAAAATGCTCAGGATTTATATATATTCACCTAGCAAAGGATTTATTTTCTTCTCAGTTCTCTAAGAGGTGAATTGAGTGCTTATCATAACAGGAAGTCTTTCACCCCTTATATTTTCATTATTATTCAGGAAGACTAAAAATCAAACAATCAATAAATAAAACAAACAAGGTCTAGAATTGCAATTTTGAGCAACAGTAAGGGTTTTTATTTGTTCCCAGCACTTCAGTCACTGATCAATTCTGACCTGCTAACTCTTGCCCTACATATCCGATACTCAATTTTTAAACCAAAAGCCCTTTATCTGACAGAAAAGAAAATTAATGACCTTAATAATTTTTTCTAGAGGAACTAAAATTAAGATAAAGTCAAAACAATCTTAATATTTTAATAATTTCATTTTTAAGAGTTTTTTTTTATTATGGAAAACAGAATGTTACATTTTAGACTTACACTCAGGAAACTCCAATTTATACCTAAGACAACAAGATCAAGCTCTGATAAGGCCAAGATTTTATTTAAACAAAGCTTATGCAGGAGCTAAAACTATTCATGTTTAGACTGTCCGAAACTTCAGGGAGTGTAAAAACATTTTTAAAATGTAATTCCCAATAACTCACTACAATAAATATATAAGAAAAGTTCACTGTTGCCTCATTAAAGGCAAATGTTTGATGCTAAAGGAAAATGTGACATTTATAATGCTGGCATATGTTCAGATACAGCTTGAGGTAAATGATGTAATGATTTGTGTCATTTAATTTCTCTTCTCAAGAATTTAAAAACTAGTAATATTGGCTGTTTTAAACAACACCATCAGCAATGTTTGTGAAACTGAAATGTATGCATATACACATATGTGCATATGTATACATGTAAAAGAATGCACACATCACACAATACTACATTCACTAAGGCATTCCCCGTTTAGGCATGCATGATTATTTTTCTTATTTGCACGATTTTATGAAAATAATAATACATGCTGGAGTGATAACACTGGCACATTCATACTGCAGCAAAGAAACTGATGATTCTGACTCTACTCTCTGCTCTATAACTCTTTACTACACCTCTAACCAATTTCCAAATACCAAGAGAATCACTGATGTATGACTTTCTGATACTGCAAAGAAATACAGAACTAAAGAAATAAAGACAGTGGTGGTGTGGCAAACCAAGTTGTATATAGTCAAAACAAATGGAGAAACTTTTAAGAATTGGAAGACATTCATCAGAGAAAGCTCAGAAAATCAATTTACTTACTATAACAAAATAGCCCTGTAAGCATGCCACTGTGCATAAAAAAAAAAAGTTTAAAAAAACATTGTTTCATTGTTAACATATTATTACAATCAGTCAAATAGTTACAGTTTAGGCATCTTTTTTCCCCAGCCTTTCTTGCTTCTCAGATCTAATGAAGCTTCAACTTAGTATTTTTAATGTGAAAAGCAAAAGTTCTAGATTTAATAACAGTAAAAAGTAATTTGTAAAGCTACTTTTCTAGTATTTACTTTGTACCTAGACATTCACTGCTATTTGAAATATCACACAAATCACACTCATTGATTTTTAAAGTTCTCTGCAAACTGAGGACAAAATTTATGGATCTAAGAAATGAAGTAGTTTTCAATAATAACAGCACCTCTACTGCGTTTAGGAGTTTATAAAACTTTTCACTTTTATTAATTTAATCCTTATGTTATTTTGTTATGTAGACATTATTTTCTCTACTATATAAGTAAAGAAGTTAGATAACCTGCCCAAGAACCCTTAGCTGGTTAAGGACCTAAGTCAAGTCTTGGACTACGGTTTGACTCTTTAAGTCCTTTGCTTGTTCCAGGCCATCACCTTTCCTGCTTTCACCATACTAATTATCAAAAAAACAACAACAACAACAAAAACGAAACAAATAAACAAACAACTCACCTCAGTTTGCTGACTTCTGAACATAAGAAAGGGGTTCTACCTGGAATCTTACGTAACGAAGTGACTCTAGTATAAAAGTGTCTTAAAAATAATGTATCTATTTTGATAAACGGCTATAAGTGAAAACATTAAAAGAAATTCTTAGCTATCTGCTTCTGCTCCCTGTTCCTGCTCTGCTTTCCTCTAAAAACTCTAAAACTAAAGCCATCCAAATGTTTTAATAAATTTTACCTTACTCTGAAAATATCAGTGACAGAAAATGTCACCACTATTCTGCTCTGTGCTAAGGGCAGGAGGAAGCTCTGGGTTCTCAGTTAAAGTAACATCTGTTTTTATCTGCAAAGAACACACCAAAGGCAAAGAGTGTGGTTAAAGGTTCCTATTCACAGAGCAGAGGAATCTTATTAAAAGGAAGACTTAAATTAAATATTTTATTTAAAAAAATAAAAATCACAATGTTTGATTAAGGATTAGGTCAACAGATCACTCAAAATGTCTGCTCCTTCAAACTGACTACTTACCAGAAACATTTCTATTTTATTATTCATAATGTAAATAAAATCCAAACATTTCTTTCTTTAAATACTATCTAATGAAATAATTTATAAAAGCAGTGAGTGTGTGTATATATATAATATATGTATAATTTCAAATTACCTTAATAGTTTTATCCATATCTCCATAGCACAGGGAGTTAAGAGAGATTTTAAAAGGCCTCCAAACAGGATTCAAGTTGTTTTTAATAACCTATAAAAAAAAAGATTTAAAGACAAGTTAGAAAAATATTCCATTCATTAATGCTTTGTTCTTGCCTTTCCTAGATTCCCACCACTCTCATCATTCATCCTTCACCTCTTCACCCACCCAACTTTGTCAATGAAAACCTAGCTAGGATAATATTATACACCTGTTATATGAAAAATGTGATAGATTGTCTAATTGTGATACACTGTGAGAAAGAAAAAAACTGGGAAATATATCCACTCTTTATAAGGTGCACTTAAAAATTAGAGAAGATTATTGGTTTTGTTGGAAACCAGAGTTTTTACAGCAGGACATAAGATTCAAATATGGAATAAGAAAGGCTCAGAAAGAACCTTGCTATGTTGGTTGTGAAGTGGAAAAATAGTCTAAATGGAAAAGTAGTCTAAATAATTAAAAAATTTTAAAATATGTATATATAATAAACATATATACACAAATATACATATTTCTCAGTTGTGTCCATTGAAAAGGTCTAAAAGCAATGACATCCCAGTAGAATGAGCACTCATATACCCTACTGTCCAAATACCACTACACTCTTAAAGGAATAGGGTTCCATAAGAGAAATAGCGAATTCCAGACTTGGGACAGGTTAGGTACATGTTGAATTAAGAACATAATTTCACATAAAATAAGAGACTGCTTAAAGACTAATGGAGTGTTGTTAAAAGAACCCAAGAACCATTTGAAGGAGCTCTTCCTGGTCAAATTTGGATTAATATGAGCAGCAAAATTCATGACAGTAATGAATTATAAACACAGTGAATATACTATAACAATCCATGGGTTTATAATGATTCTAAAAATAAAAGTGAGAGAAATAAGAGTATCTGCAACCTCCAATATAAGTGATTCAGGTATGGATCATCAATGGACGCTAAGACCACTGGGCGAAATGGAGGTTATTCATGCAGTCTCAAAGAATCACACTGCAATCATTTATTAATTACAAAGGGAAAAAGGTGAGACTTTATCATGGCACAATCTGGTGGTCACCAGATTAACCTAGTAGCCCAGACTGGAATCATCAGTACTGGGCATCCTGACACACCTTGATGATGGAAGATACACATACTGTGTTCTAGATGGAAATGTTTGATCTGGACCTAATTGTGAGGAAACAAAAGAATCCAGTATGTTAGACATACTGATCTTGATTACTCAAGAGATTCATAGCCTGAAGGTATAAGGGAGGTAGGGAGAAGAGGACTATATTGGGAACGTAATAGCCAAATGCAAAACGTGAACCTCGATTGGATCCTGTATTAAACAAAACAAAACATATATAAAACGTGGGAAAATTGGGGAGATCTGAAGATGAATGGTATATTAGATGATGTTACTAAATCAATGTTAATGCTCTCAGTTATGGAGGTGTAGAGAAATGCCCTTGTTCTTGAGAAATACCTACTGTAGCATTTAAAGGTGAAAAGTCATGATGTCTGCAGCCTACATTAGGATAGTTTTGCAAAAGGGCATGGATATGTGTGTGAGAGAGAGAGAGAACACACATGTATGCAGTTATGACCATTTAATCAATCTAGGTGAGGGATACACTGGTATACATTTTAGTGTTCTTTATAGGGTTTTAAAAATTAAGCATAGTAGCACCTCCTCATTAAAAGAAAAAAAATGAGCATGCTGACTTTGTGTCTTTGGCAATTATATATGTCTGAAGTCAGATTAATATTTTTATAAATACATAATTTTTCTTTTTTTTTTTTGCGGTACGTGGGCCTCTCACTGTTGTGGCCTCTCCCGTTGTGGAGCACAGGCTCTGGACGCGCAGGCTCAGTGGCCATGGCTCACGGGCCCAGCCGCTCCGTGGCATATGGGATCTTCCCGGACCGGAACACGAACCCGTGTCCCCTGCATCGGCAGGCGGACTCTCAACCACTGCGCCAATCATAATTTTTAAAAATTCAGATTACTACAATTCCAAAGGAAACCTCAACCCTACTTTTCAAATTCATATATTCACCTCTGTTCGATGAACCATTAGCCAGTTTCCATCAGACATCTGCTTGTGGAATTCCAGGTATGGATCTGACTTTCCAAATAGATCCTACATTAAAATAAAGCAATTATTCTCCTCCTAAACCATGTGAAACCACACTTTATACATGTTACATGTCAGCAGTACCTGAAGTTTAACTCTATAGTAAAGATATACACAGTACAATACAGCAGTAAATACAAATCCCAACACCTTCCTCACAAACATATGAGCCTGCTCAAGTCTATCAGGAGAACTTTTAAGGCACTTGTGATAAATGCTCATAATCCTGTGTATCACACCCTTACATGATGGCTTTAAAATACAGTGATCAATAGGACCCGTTATCAATACAATACGTTTTTAGCTTGTTTTCATTATTAACAGTGTTCATTCATTCATATAGCACTGAGTAGTTTTATATAAATGATCCCATACATTAGTCATACTAACTCCATGAGAGACAGAACGAGAAAATGGATTCAGAGGAGTTAAATGACTTTGCCAAGATCATACAACTAATTAATTGATGGATCTGAGCTTTGAGTTCATATCTTACCCTTCTATGTCCAATACTCCTTCAGCAATCCCGCACATTTCTTTACACACACAAAGGAGCACACACAAGTAGATATGTGGAATGCACAACAGAAGTACTTCAAGGGCACAAAGTACATCCCCTATTTCCTCTGTAATTCACCACATCACAGCACTCCTGTATAATGCTCAAGTACAATGAGTGTTCAAAAATACCCTTATCGCCATCTTACACACACACACACACACACACACACACACACACTCTTACACAGGGAGATAAAATTCTGGAAGAATGTACAAATCGTTCCCAGAGGTAAAACTCAGATAGTAAGATTGTGGATGATTTTATTTTCTCATTTTTATTTTATCTTCATTTTGAAATTTCTATACTCCTTAGCATATATTACTTATTATTTGTGAAATAGAAAGGACACCTGTTAATCTCACAGTAATATACACAGATATGTCGCTAAACTGAAGATTTTTTTCAGTCCTGAATTTACCACAGTATTAAATTAAGAAGATAATATTACTTCCTTCCTCAGCACAATCTAATGTTAAGAAAGTAACACATTCGGCACAGTCAAAAATGTAAACACAAAGACTAAGCAGAACTTTTAAAATTTAATCTTATCTTTAAGAAGAATCTTAAGTAATGTAATAAGCCTCTCTATGCCCCATTTTATAAAACTAAGAACAGCATTATACATAGAGGAGTTAACTTTCCAAAAACACATTAACATGCCCTGTCTCACTTATCTTAGAAATAATCTTTTGAGAAAGGCAGAATATCATTATTACTATATTGAAGGTCAGAAAACAGACCTTGTTTGAAAGTTCATTAATATGACAGTAGTAGAACTAAAATAAGAATTAAAAGTCCCTGACTCTGGGATAAGTTAAGTCAAAAAAGCAAGGTAGAGGAACGTATGCATAATATATTATGCTACACTTACTCATGGGCTGAGGCTGGGGAATATAAATACAAATACATACATACACACATGCACACACATATCTATGTATATAGATATACACATGTATGTCTATTTGTATGTTTATATATACACAGAGACATATACACACATACGTATGCATATGCACATGTATAGACACACAAAAAAAAACTTAGTTTTTTTGGAAAATGAAGGATTAAACCATAAAATATAAATTTTAAAAAAGTATTACATACAGCCAGGAAAGAGAAAAAAATATAGAGCAGACAGGGAAAGAAGCTAAATTTCTCGAACATACCTTGTTTTGATTAATTCTAATTGATGCCTAATGCCTACTGATGCCTAGGCTTTGGAACCATCTTATACATGATTGTAAAACAAAATTAAATCAAAAAAAAAATTGTAAAGCAATCCCTAAATATCAAAAGCAAAATTCGATTATGTGTTAATGTTACAGCATAACCATTCAGAGAAGAATTATTTGAAACACAAGAGTTGAACTGTAGAACTCAAGTGGAATATATAAGCCTAAAGACAAAAAGAACTTCAAAGAAAGCTCAAACTGTTTTCAGTAAAAATATTTTAATTGTAACATGAATATTTATATTCTTAAACTATTAGATATTATATAGGACAAAACAGATAAGCAATTATGTTAGTATCTTTGGGAATCAACATTTTTGACATAAGTGAGAAGAGGTGCTGACTACAGAATTAAAGAAATACAGCCTTGTAATTCTACATCTAAATTGGAAATCGTTGTACAAATTTATGATTTAGTTTCCCTTAAAAAAGAAAAGACTTTCCTATATCTGTCCACTGAAAAATCCTAGAAATAATGAGTGACAACAATCAATAAATGTTAAGCACTTCTAGTACCACATTGTGGACTCATTGTAGAAAGGCTCCCTTTGATCTGTCAATCTGGAGCAGAAATCAGATAAAATAAGCCTGGAACATTTGTCATGCCACAGAGCAGGAAGCTATCCAGAGACCTCTGGGGTCATGCCAAATGGTCTCATGAACAAACTTAAATAGGTTCCCTCCCATAGGCTAAAGCTGGGATACTTTAGGCATCAATAAGAATAAATCAATATAGTTCACAGCAATACTAAAAACTTTTTTAAAAGTCCTCATTGGTCACATATAGAGGAATTTATTATTTTGAAAAATGGTAAATATGATAAAAAAATCAAACATTTCAACTTGCCTTTTCTGGACAAACTGTATCTCAGAATAAATAAATACCTAATGTGAAGAAGAATATTTCTCTCTGTAGAAGTATTCTCACAAGTAAATGAAGAAGCGATGATAGCATGAGAATATCACTATTTTAAGACCCTTAATAAAATATCTAGGTAGTTGTCATCAATGGTCACTAATACCCCAAAAGACAGAACTTGACAATGTGTGCCTCTTGATGGAATTAATGCCACCACCTATGAAACTCATACCAATTCAAGATACCACCAGATCATACCTCTAGATTCAATTCCAGCTTACAGAAATCAGGAAATAAAGGTGGAGAGATGAACATGTTACATGACACCACAGGGATTTAATTAGCTTATACAGTGTGTGGAAACTTCTATAGGACAAAGGAGTCAGTTTATTGAATAAATTCCATGGATGGATAGGAGGGAGGGGGAGAGAGAAAGGGAATAAGAGAGGAAGAGAGGGAGGAAGGGAAGAAGTAAAAGGAAGAGGAGAATTTATAGATTAAAAAAATTTAAGAGACATATTAACCAATTATATTATTTTAAAAGTCCTTAGAGATACACCAAAACATATATGGATGAAATGATGTGACGTCTGGGAGGAGAGAAAGTAGATAGGGGTAGGGATGAGACAAAATTGGTCATGAGTTAAAACTGTTAAAGATAGGTGGTGGGAACATGGGATTTTTAAAAAAATACTTTTCTATTTTTGTATATGTTTAAACTTGTCCAAAAAAAAAAGATACTGGCTACTAGTCTAAGATATTTGCACATTGAATTGTAAGGTATATGAAAATGATGAAGACTAATGATTGGATTACAGGATTACATACAAAAATCACTCAAAGAATTATTCCAAACCATGCTATAAACTAAACTGCTGTGTTCTTATGTACTGGTACTCATCCTTCAAGAAAAATTGACTTTTGAACGCAGAGAGGAAAATCTAATTAATAAAGCATGGAATTTTCACTTTTTTCCTTAAGTAATCCAAATACACTCTCAAATGCCTCTTACAGTAACATTAATGATTGTATTAATTCTTCTTTTAAGCTATACAAACACTTTGATTACCTCTAGAGGAAAGAGGTAAAGAGAAATGGCTTCTGCTTAAACACACACACAAACAGAAAGCAGAATTCGGAAGTAACTAACACTCAAAGTGATGCTTAGATGACAGAGTTCATAATATTAATTCCATTATTATTTTCTCAAAAAGGAATCAATGTGAGGCAAAACATGATACCCTTGTTGAAATCTGCATCACCTACCTACCTTATTATCAAGTTTTCTTGCTTCCATTTCAAACAAGACAACTCTGTTATCCTTTATTTCTTCAGCTGAAATCTATGAGTAGACAAGGTAAGTGAAAGAACATGTTTTGGGGATTTTGATATACTCAGGAAGTACTGAATTATTCTGTTATCTAATGGTATATAAAGTCTATACTAATATGTGAATTCTAAAAGGTTTAATAACAAAATGGTACCATTAAGAAAGATTTATTTCTTTTATGCATGTGAAATAAATATTTTCCCAAAATATGCCTAGTCTGCATTATGCAACTTCCTTTTTAATGCTGTTGCCCAAACTGGATCTTCCCTCTTCCAGTGAAAAATCAAAGCCCTGGAAGATTGCACAACACTAGTGAGAGCTCTCCAAACATTGAGAAGCATGAGTAAATCACACACTATAAATTCAAATATCGGATCAATATTTTCATCCAAGGTAACTGAAAGACTTATTCTACTAAAAATAAATTCCAGGCTATCATGACCCCAAAAGCAATAAAGCTAACTACTGATAATGATCTCTGTCCCACACACAGAAGTCAACACCCTCAAAAGACTGAACATTCTTATGCCTCAGGAATCTAAACCAGGGCAAAACAGCTGCTCAGAGAAATGTGTTTGATAATCGTAATAATCTTCAAACATGGTTTTCTCAGAGAGCCAGCCTTCTCAGGCAGAGCTAAAGTAAAACAACTATCTCTTCAGGCAGTGATTACCTGGACACAAACTCTAGAAGATAAAATATGTAAAAGCATGGCATTATGTAATTTGAAATCTGAAACAAGATAATGCATATATTCATTTGCCCAGGTCCAGTAATCAGCAATGGAAAATTTGGACAGCAAAGTGCAAGCACAAAAGAAACATGGTTAAGAGTTAAGAGGTTCAATGGCCATGTCATAATACGAGATCATTCTGGAATCAAAACCATTACGGAAAGTCTCTGCCATGTTTGCTTTGTTGAGAGCCAAATTGATCCATTCAGATTATTAAGTAATTTGCTTCCCACTTGGGAATTTACGCTTCCATCGGGAAGAGGCAAGCATTACCAAGATGTGCCTGACTCTATAGGCAGCTTAAAAAACTTAAAGAAGGGATTCCCACACTGCATTTTTCTTTCTTTTTGGCACAACACAGTTTCCAGTTGTGATCACTTTAAGGCAAGGCAACATTCGGGATCAAATGATAAAGCATGGCTGTGGAATATTTGTCTAATATACACAGTTTTAGCACGTCCTATTATGCTAAATCTTCGGAGGAAAAAAGACAAATATCTTATCGTTACCGTAATGCTTCCTTTCCCTGCAGGTCTGCCATTTTTAAGCACCAGTGGTCGAGTTAGTTTCTTACTGGAAACAATCTGTTAAAATTGGAAAGTGATAGAAAGAGCTATTTCACTTCAACATGTGAATGTTTAGACTGAAATGGTTTCAAAAAGGGTTGAGTATAAAGTTCACTTAAAGTCATTAGAAATGGAAACATTAAGTCCATTCCTTAAAGACTTAGAGATTATAAAACACATCTACACCCACTGCAAAAGATTTCCAAGGAGCCAATCCGGATAGATAAAATCTCCCCACCCACTAGTTTCTTTATCAACTACGTCAAAGTTAAATCCTTCCTTGTAATGAAAAAAGAGGGCCAGATTCTCATCATATACAAATCACTGAGCTGAAATGAAACCCCTGTAGGTAAAAGGTGGGTCTTAGAATACTCAATAAATGGGATTCAATTTTTCAGCTGAAACATAACTTCAGTATATAATCTCCACAAGATATCATTTTGATTAAAATAATATAGTAGACCTAGGTACTCTCAAATAGATCCATTTCTCAAATTTATTATAATTTTAGATACTGTGATTTTTTCCCAAACAATCAATACTTCTTTAATTTTCTCTTTGATACTATTTATCAAAGTTTGAGAAAATTGATCAGCTCCATGTTGTCCTTGAGACATAGGAAATAACATGATCTCCAAAAAATTCAACACTAAAAAATAAACTCATAAAAGACAAATCTTAGAAATAGATGTCACCCACTGAAAAAAAATGACTCCTCCCTCCTGAAGCCTTCCCTATTCTATCATAAATGGTCATGATCTCTCCTTACAAGTCAAACTGAGCTAGAAGCACAATGGTGAGCCCACCGACACACCCCTGCTCTGACACAGCCTGTAATATCCTAAAAAGACAGACAATTAAGCAACTACAATAAAATATGGTCAGTGTTAAGGTAGAAGCGGTAGAGAGGACCAAGCGAGCACATGGAGGTGATCCAAACTACTCTAGGGCGTCAGAGAAGGCTTGCTAGGGGGAGTAAGGTCCATACCTAAGGTTAGAGGAGGAGCAAGCCAGGTAAAGGGATGGTGCTGGGGCCGGGATGGGGGGTGGGGGGGGGGAGGTAGGGAGGGTGGGCTCAAGGGGCACCAGTCATGCTAGTTAGAACATCGGAGAAGCTGCTGTTACTTTGACAGCATTTATGACTTAAACAAAAGAACAATACTGTACTGAAATCTGCAAACAGCAGACAAGCAGTTAGAGCAATGGTATTATTTATTGAAATGTTGAATGAAACACCCATACACACATGGTCCCTACCCTCATGAAAAATAAGATAAATTCTATAATGTTCAAGCAAAACATACTAATATATGAACTCAGTCTTTAAAGTAATTACAGCGTTTTTCAACTTTAGCAATTAAACTAATGAGCACTTATCAGAAACACCCAATTCTTTGGTTCAAATTTAGACAAAACATTTATACTATATATACTCACTTGTCCAAGGGTACATTCACATTCTCCTAGGAAGTCATCATCACTCAGCTCGATAGTTTTGTTGTCAATGTCATAAATCCCAAATTTCAATTTCTGAACCACTTCAAAGTAGTAATCAATAATAAATGTCTTGGAAAATTTGGGATTCAAGCAATTCTTAATCCTTTCTGTGCGGTCAACCTATATTCACTCCCCCAAAATAAAAAAGTTTCTTCAGATCAAAAGTGCATGTGTTTAATATCTTTACATACTACATGTAACTAAATACAGGCATGGTAGCTAAAGGAAGTGTTTATATGTGTATGAAAAATTACACAATCAAGGACAAACTTGCCCAAAAAACTGCAATAACAGATGAGATTGTTTTATTATTTTTAACATTTTTAATAAACTCTTCATATTATCAAAAGAGCAATACAGATTGCTTTTCACCTACAAGTATTTAACATTACCTCATACCACTGTTGACCACTCGTATTCAAAAATAACACACACAGAGGGTCTGACTTTGACCCTACATCTTTATCCAAAAGATTGTCACAGGAAATATTCAGTTCCACCTTTGTGACACACTGGGCAGCCATCTCTTGAGCTGTAAGAAAAACAAAGAAATAAGAAAGCTGGTGAAATGGTGCCTTTAAGAAGCACATGCATTCCTTGGGAATTCCCTGGCAGTCCAGTGGTTAGGACTCGACACTTTCACTGCCAGGGCCTGGGTTCGGTCCCTGGTCAGGGAACTAAGATCCTGCAAGCTGCGCGGCATGGCCAAAAAAAAAAAAAAGAGGCACATGCATTCCTAATGAAGTATCTGAATTCTTAAGACAAACTGTCAGAATAGGATAACAGAGTGAACTTGCTAGAATAAGACTTTGTTATATGTGCTTCCAGGCAATTCAGATGTCTTATTAGTCCATGCCAGTGTTATTGTTTCAGTCAGATTCTCTTGCTGGGATAAAACTCATTTACTGTGTGACAATAAAATGAAGCTTTGAAGATGGCAAAAAAGACATATTAATCTTTTCATCACTACAAATTTTACCATTCAGAAAAAGTCCAAGTATAATCTTGATCCTTCTTTTAAACATAGCCTTCTGCTACAAAACAAAACAGATTAAACCTCAACCTTAATTTTATCTTTGTTTATCTGACAAGATACTGAGTAAGATATTTGCCATTTTCAAGGAAATTTTGGCTAAGACCCAAGCCTGGGGAATAAAAGACCCCAAACACCCCTCCTCTCCTCACCCCATCCCCGCACATTTTACAGCAGTGGTTCTCAAGCTTTGCTGCTTTTGGAATCACCTGGGGAGCTTTCAAAGCCACGGATGCTGGTGTCCCACACAAAGAGATGTAATCTAATTGGTTTAGGGTGCAACCTGGGCATCGGCTCCTTGGATGATTTCCATGTGCAGACAAGGTTGACAAACCCACCATTCTACAGAGAGCATCCAGCAAATAGGCATGGCTCATCTTTCGTCAAGACTTGCTAAGAAAGACCAGAGTTAGCCTAACTTTCACCCAGCCCTCCTTGCCCCAACCTCCAATCATTATATGAAGAAGACTGGGGAGACGGAGGATTAGCTGGGGGCTGGCCCTGAGAGATGATGCAGTGTTGAGGGTGAGCTACTTTCCTTCCTGAACCCAGGGAAAGAAAGGGCCTGCAGGTGTCACCAAGAAGAGGAAGCAGACATTACATGCCCCAGCTGGAAGTCCACTTAGCCACCTGTCTAAAGCAAAGTGGAGGTTGCAGGTTCTGGAGGCAGAAAGGTACCTCCTCCCCTAGAGCTGCTGACAACATCCTTAGAATGTGGCGTAAGTAGTTAGTGCCCTTGTCTTCCACTCTGAGATTTAGCTTACATTCTGGGACTACAGGAACAAATCTACTCATCATCTTGTTAGATTCAAACAGGATTTCTGTGCTGTACAAAATGTGTGATCAGTTCTGAAATAATAAGGATCACTATTAGAAGAGCTCTTTGGCAGTGTCAAAAAACAACTCATATCTTATAGAAACTAAATACTCTGTTAGACTCTAAAAACAGCAGCAATCCTCAATGTGTGTCAAAAAATGCAATACTAGCATTTAAGATTCCTAAATTAAACAGAATAATAAGGTAGGTTTTGTAGTCTTAGTAGCTAAAAATTCCTTTTAAAAGCCATGATATATGTATGTCCCTTCACCTGAGAAGAGAATTATTCCCTAATAAGCAACAAACTTCACAAATTCCCAATTTGCTTCCTAAATTCCCTACATAGGGATGTTGTAGTAAGACTAAAACTACTATGGCCTTTTACTATGAAGTCAGATTTTTTTTTTTTTGGCCACTTTACATGCATCAAAATTATTAAGTGGTAAAATACACAGTACTGACAACCTGTACGAAAGATACTAAGGTCAAGGAAAAATCAATAAAGCAGACAGAGGAGAATTAACAGTACTAAGAGTGCAGGTGAGACTGACACTGCCGAGGCTTTGAAATCTCATTTAAACAGATGAAGAGGGAAACAGCACAGGGACAGGAAAGAACAAGACAAGAGAAGCGAGCATCTGTGTCAGGGAAAGCCAAGCAAGACAGAAAGCGGGGCAAGTTGAGAGTGTCCTGAGAGCCAGGTTGAAGGACTCAGTAGGTGCGTAATAAGGCACTACTGCAAGTTCTCAAACTGGGGATATCAGGATGAAATGGTTTATTTTAAAATAAAATAAATAAAATAAAAGTAAATAAAATAAATTCAACAGACAAATGGATAAAGTAGATGTGGTACATATATACAATGGAATATTACTCAGCCATAAAAAGGAACAAAATTGGGTCATTTATAGAGACGTGGATGAATCTAGAGACTGTCACACAGAGTGAAGTCAGAAAGAGAAAAACAAATATCGTATACTAACGCATATACATGGAACCTAGAAAAATGGTACAGATGAACCGGTTTGCAGAGCAGAAATTGAGACACAGATGTAGAGAACAAACATATGGACACCAAGTGGGGAAAGCGGCAGGTGGTGGTGGTGGTGGTGGTGGTGGGATGAATTGGGAGACTGGGATTGACATGTATACACTGATATGGATAAAATGGATAACTAATAAGAACCTGCTGTATAAAAAAATAAATAAAATTCAAAATAAAATGTCACTTGTGTCAAACCTCCTCTAATTTTATCTTGGAATTTAGAACACTCCAACATATAAAGAAAGTCTCTTCATCCAGTAATACGCAAAATACAGAATTTACCAAAATTAGCATGTCTTCACACCAATTTAATTCAGAAGATTAGTTATTTATTTTCTGAAATATATACAATACTAGAGGTATTTGCAATAATAGTGTGAATACAATCACCATTCTTTCTCACTTTGATTTATGAAAAAAGAAAAAGTGCTAAAAACATAATAAGAGGCAAGAAGAAACTAGTAGGAAAGGGCAGATACCTCAAAACTCAAAAGCACAGAGACAATGGTCCAGGGACTTTGAAGCTATGCACATCCATGAAGTCTCTGGCATATTGACACTGGGGCCTCATCCTCAATCTCTTCTTCCTTTAGATTGTGCATGCCTAATTCTCCTCTTCTGTGCCTTTGACTAGTACCTCTTCCCCTCCCATCCAAGAAACTGTGAGCATCCCTTTAGGCTCTGTCACCTCCTGACCTTTGGCTACCTTTACTTCTTTGACCTGACCCCTCTCAAGGCTTCAGCCATCCACTTGGCATAAGGTACTCCCAAACCTATATCTTTCACCCCTGTCCCTATGCACAATTACTTTTACCCTATTTTACATCTACTGTTTTCAGCCCTGAAGCATCCTCCCTTGATTGGCCCCTTCCTCTTCATTGCCTCATTTCATAGGCTCTGGAATCAGACTGCTGAGTTCTCATTTGGATCCCACCACTGGCTTAACGTGTGACCTTAGGCAAGAGCTTAACCTCTCCGTTTCCTCATCTACAAAATGAAAATAATAACTGTTCATAGGGTTATTGTAAGGACTAAATGAATTAATATATTTAAACAGTGACTAGAACATGGTAAAAGTTGTTTTATCATTATTATTTTTTTTTTTTTTATTTTAAGACTACCTGCCTCCAGGGTCTGATCCTCTCCTATCTATCCCATGTTTCATATTTTTTATTATTCCATTCCATGTTTCCCAATTATTCCAACCCGCACCAAGTCCCTTGTTTGAGTTACTGCTGCATTAATAGTAACAGATTACTACAGTACAGCACAATATCAAATTTGGAGCAATACACACCTGGGTCGAATCCTGCATCTGGCGCTAGCTGTGTGACCTCATATAGGTTACTTTCAGAACCTAGATTTCCTCATCAGTAAAAATAAAGACACTGCAAGTGAATTCGCGAATCTGACATGTGCCAGGCATCTTGCTTTTCATATTTAACACAGAATCTATGGAATAAATGTTAATTGTGTAATTTTTTTTCTTTTGCATAAGGTAGTTTAGAGTCTCATAAGCTGCATGGATAATGCAGTATCTTGCGGAGGGACTTAGAATGAGCAAGGACCTCTAAGGCTCCCACAAAACAACTTGTAAAGAATTCTCTACTAGCAGCCAGAAAGCCCTCAAATTTCCAAGGATGGGGAACAGAGAATGAAGATAATACCTATGTGTAATGTCAGTCTCATAGCAAAGAGACACAACACATCAGAAGAGCATTATTTTTTTTCCTTAAACATGCTCATACAAGAGCTACAAAAATAACGTGCCAGGCACACCTGATTATTTAGTAAATTGCTGACAGTTACATTACTGCATTGTAGCTGGGACACAAATTTCCTCTATTAGCAGCAATCCCCCCCTGAAAATGACTCTTAGGGCAGCATCGTTTTTATCTAGAAACCCATTATGGCTGAATGGCAAATGGAAGAAATTACATAAACACTTGGGTCTGAAATGTTCTTAATAGCCACATTTATGAAGATTTTCTTTTCATTTCCTTTCTAAGTAATTACCCAGCACAGGATAATTTTTATTATATTAAAATATCCAGTTTTTAAAAGAGCAATAGGTATTCTTTTATGATGGAAGAAAACAAAACAAATGTTTTATACCCTTTAGTATGGAAAAGAGGAGATTTGGCTGGAATGAGTGGCCAGGCAGAGGAATGTATGTGCAGCTAAAGAGCAATTCTATGTATTTCACTCCTCAAAGAGCAGGATGCTGGAGAGAAAAGACAGAAATAGCCTCTAGGATTAGACAACAGCTTCTCTACTGTATAGATTACTTACTGGAGAATTGTTCGGTTTCTAAATGCAATTAACCCTTAGAAAGCGTATGAATCATTCTCCCAGTCACCCTAACTTTCCTGAATCAACATAACACAGATAATTCAAAGGAATTAAAAATTAAGACCTAATATCTGAAGTAGGACCTCATGTGTGAAATTTAAGGCATATGGTTATTCCCATGCCCTAGCTGAAAATCCTCAAGTCCTGTCTGCTTTCTCTTTTCCCATCTCCCCTTAGACTCACTCCTTAGATCTCTTCAGTAAAGGAGATTCTGCCTACTATAACCCCAAATCTCTCCAATGTGGAGGTGCAGAAACTTCCCTATACCCACAGTCACAACTATGT